AGAGAGACGCGTGTTGCCGCCTGGGCCTACGTGTCTGGATGGTGCTCACACACGCCTGAGCCCGGGCTGTTAGCAACGTGTAGCAGGGCATGTTGGGGGGAGGGGGGCGCAGCCAAGACATCGGGCGGTCCTTCGAGGAGCCCTGACTCTGGAGTCCCGCTACCTGGGTTTGAACCCCGGCTCTATCACTCACTGGCTGTGCCGCCTTGATCAGGTTGTTGACCCTCTCTGAGCCTGCATTTTCTCAGCATCAAAGAGAATAATTTGTGATTGCCCAGGGCTGGGGATGGAAGGTGGAGTGACTGCTAATGAGTACGGGGTTTCTTTCTGGGGTGATGAAAACATTCTAAAATTAGATAGTGGTGACGACCATACGATGTTGGGAATAAACTAAAAAGCCAATGAATTGTACACTGCGTGTAAACTATAGCTCAGTAAAGTGGGTTATAAAAAAGTGGGGACAATAAGGTGGGGGGGGAAGAACAATAGCACTTACTGCACAGAGTTGTCCTACAGGGCAAAGCACACAGCCTGGCACAGAGTAAGCACTAGTAGGGACGAGCGAGGAAGGACTGACATGGCCCCAGGCGGATGGGTTGGCGTCCACGAGTGTATATTGCTGGGTGCCTACGGAAATCTGCCCGGGTCCCCAGTGCTGGGCCAGCAGGTTGTTAAGCAGCTGAGCTGCCCCTCATATGTGGAGGGGGTCCTGGGCGGCTGTTCCCTGGTAGCGATGGGAGAGGGCATGGCCCTCCTCCCGCCTCTCTGGCTGGGTCCCTGGAGAGGAGGCTGCCCACCACGGCGGGCAGACTCTGCCGCTCACTCTCCCTGTCTCCCAGAGCACTCATATTTTCCATGTGCAGCAGGCCGTGACTTCACCTTCATACTAGTTACAGGGTTATTTAGCTTCTCCTGACACTGACAATCACCAAACTTTAATTCGCTGCGTGGCTTCTCCCTGCTGTGCCCTCTGCCCACCCCCAAAATCCCTGGGAGAGGGTGGGAAGGACCTAGTCCGGCCCCCCTGTTGCCAAAGCCTGCCCTTCGGAGTGATGGAGGGATGGCAGGAGGGGATGCTCAGGAGGAGAAGATGATGGACAGAGAGTGGGGGCGGGGAGGGGGGAACAGCGCGGGAGAGAGGAAGTACCACCAGCGCTAAGGGGAGCTTCCGTCCCGCTCCTCCGGCCTGACACTAATGTATTCAACCCGACATCCATCCTGTTGTGAATAAAGATTCAGCTGACCGGGCTTTGGGTCTGCAGGCTGGCAGCCCCAGCCAGGACCTACGGGGCCGGGACTCACTGAGCGCCCGGGACGGGGCAGCTGGCACGGACTGGCTCCTTTGCCTGATGCTGGATGAGGAGGTGCCCATCTGGAACGCACCCGAGGGAGCCCTTTCCTACTAACCTGAGCAGCCAGCTCGCATTTTCTCCTGCCTCCCCCATGCGAGTCTCCTGTGAGGCTAAGCCATCTTGCCTCACGGAGGCTTCTCTCCGGCTTACTGCCCCGCGGCCTGTATCACGTCTCTCCATCTCCTGAAGTGCTCACCATCATCTTTCCCCAAAGCCTCCTAGGCAAGCAAAGGAGTGATGGTTTGCTCTGAGAACCATCCGGTGGAACCAGGGGACTGTCTTATTCCCCAAATCCAAGCTGGCCCCGTGAGCCCATCATTAGTCAGAGTCCCAGAAGCAGACAGCGGAGCCGAGAGGATTCTCGAAGACCAGAGGCCTGGCAAAGGACCTGGGCCGGGAGGCCTGGAGAAGCAGAGGCAGAGCGGGGGC